GCGGTACCTACATGAGGTGGGTGCTGTCGGGGGTCCAGTCGGGCCGGTACTTGGCACCCATCTCCAGCGCCTTGTCCCGCAGCTCGGAGCGGAAGGGGTTCTGGAAGCCGCTCAGCACGAAGACCGTCCCCTGCAGGAGGCGATGAAAATCCTCCCCCGCCCCCTCCGGCGACGGCTCCTTCGGCTGCTTCTTGGGGGCTGGTGGCCTGCGGGGGGGCGGCTCTGGGGCTGGGGGAAGACAATAGGGGGGTTAGCGATAATACCCGCCTACTGGGACACCTGAGCCAACTAGAATGCCCGGCCGAATGAGTGACAGATCCGCCCTCCCCTCCTTACACTGTACCCCCCCCCCACACCCCCACCTTTCTCTGGCCCGTAAGGTAGTGACAGACCTTGATCAGTCAAACTGTGTAATATGCACAGAGCCGGGGAGAGAACCCAGGAGTCCCCTCTCACCTTTGGGCTTCTTGGGGGCTGGCTGCGGGGGGTGGGGGGCCTCGGCGTCAGGTTTCCGAGCAGAGGGGGGCGCCGAGTTCTCCTTGCTGAACTCAAACTTCCTCTTGGTGGGAGGCGGATCCTGAGGGGGAAGAAAAGTGGGTCAGAAGCGAAAGGTAAATATCCGGTATGATGTGCACTGGATTCCTGAACGCAGCCACCTCTGGGGGGGCTGTTTATCAGGGTTCCCGCACTGGGGCTGAGATGCGGGCGCTTTAAGACGAAAAGGGAAGGTGAACCCCGTACCCAAGCACATCTGCAATGCAGCGGATTGTGGGTACCAGAATGCAGTCCCCAGCGATGGGCTCTGGCCCGGATACCGGGGTTCATATAGACAACGCCATTCCCAGGCCAGCACAGCAAGCTGTGCCCGTCAGCCTGCTCCTGACAGCCCAGGCCAGAGACCGGCCCCGAATCATTCCTAGGGCCGAGAACCCCCCGCGCCCCTCGGGGACGTGTCCCAGCGGTTCATTCCCCTCCCTGGTGAATAGACAGACGAGGATCGCGGCTCCCCGGAGCCTTCCCTGGGTTAAACCGAACGGGTCGAGCGCCAGGCGTCACTTGCTCTGCGGTGGGATTTTCAAGCCATTCCTTGTTCTCGCGGCTCTTACTAACCCGCCCCCACCCCCTTTGCCACCGGAACTGGCCCCTGGGTTCTGACCGCCCCCGCCACTGCGAGGGAGCAGCCGCGCCCGGCCGAGAGGACTGTACCTTGGGGGAGGCCGTGGCGCGGCTGGGGGAGGTCCTGGCGGCGGGTTTCTCTGTGGCGGAGGGGGAGGGGGAGGAGGCGCCGGGTGTGCTGGCCTGGAGGGTGGCCACGGCGTAGCTGGGGGACGGTTCCTCCGTCTGCGGGGCTGCACGGGAGAGCGGACAAGAGATGTCGCAGCCACAAATCGCAGCAGCAGCAGCACGTGGAGCTAGAGCTAACCGGACGCACCACAGAGGGCAGGGGACAGCCTCTGGAAACCGGCATCTCTGGGTAACCTAGACAGACTCACCACTAGACCCCACTCCCCTCCCAGAGCCGGGCAGAGAACCCAGGAGTCCTGGCTCCCAGCCCCCCTGCTCTAACCACTAGACCCCACTCCCCTCCCAGAGCCGGGCAGAGAACCCAGGAGTCCTGGCTCCCAGCCCCCCTGCTCTAACCCACCAGGCCCCGCTCCCCTCCCAGAGCCAGGGAGAGAATCCAGGAGTCCTGGCGCCCAGCACTCACCACTAGACCCCACTCCCCTCCCAGAGCCAGGCAGAGAACCCAGGAGTCCTGGACCCCCCCCCCCCATCCCGTTCTAACCCACTAGATCCCGATCCCTCCCCCGGGTTCATGGTACCTCTGGGCGGCGTGAGAAGCGGTTTGCTAGCTCGGCTGAAGAACAGGGCCCCGGGCCTCATTGAGGCAGAACTGCTGTCCTCATCCTTCACCTTAAACTGGCCCAGCTTGGTCACCTTCTGTACGGAGAGAGATGCACAGGGCTGGGCTAACAGGGGCTGCGGGTCAGGAGTGAGGGACACTGGCAGAGCTGAGGGGGGAAAGGGGGAGCCCATGGCTGGGCTAGCAGGGGCTGCGGGTCGGGAGTGAGGGGCACCGGCACAGCTGTTACTCACCGGGGAGGCAGATTTTGATTGGGTTTCATTGTTTTCGGGCGGCGAGTGGAACTTCACAAAGGACAGCCCATACGCCAGGGTCTATGGGGAGATCAGCCAGAAAGAAAGTGACCCATTGGCAGCGCTGGGGAGAGAACCCAGGAGTCCTGGCTCCCAGCACCCCCTCCCCCTGGTCTAACCATTAGACCTCACTCCCCCCACTGTGACACCCTGCACCCCACGTTCACCACTTTTATAAGGTTATGACACATTTGGTACAAAGTCTGCCTTGTGAGATATCATTTGAAAACTCATAATCCGCTGAACATCATTGCCCTGCTAAAATGTGTGTAACAACACTGTGTGTAAAGCTATGGGCTTTTACTATATGATGTTACTAAAATAGGTTATGATTCTGGGGAACGCCCACAGACTAGCTTTTCAGAGACAACAAAGGACAGACCTATACCCCACCAGGTGTTAAGAAACTATCAGATGCGTAGGCAGCCATTCTCTGGCAGGGGGAAGGCATGAATAAGAAATGTACATTTCACCCCAGAGACGGTTCAAGCGTCACGTACGCAAAGTGAGGGGTAATAGTCAGGGAGAGAGGGGTAAAGGAATGAAAAACAGTGGCTTCTACCTCACCTCTTTGCTCATGCCATCAGTATATTCACTGGAAGGAAACTGAACCAAGGGGGGGGGGGGTGTCCCAGGCTGAAAGGAAATCCAGCCTGTGAAATCTACTACAAGCTTTTGGTGAGAAAAATCCCTTTTGCTTTTCACTTCACTTAGTTGGGTAAATTAGGGATTCGCTTCCATGTTTATCTTCTATTATTTTTCCTTGCAACCCATTCTGACTTTTATGCCTTATCACTTGCAATCAATGAGAATCGAGCTTTCTGCAGTTAATAAACGTCTCTGCTGGTTCCATCCAAAGCGTTCGGGCCCCTCCCCTTGGCTGATGCCCGATACCTTTCCTTTGATGGGATTTCTACGTGCTCGTGCTGGCCAGGAGGGGGCTGAGCAGTACAAGACGCACATTTCCGGGGGACAAGGCCGGGACTAAGGATTTGCTGCCCTGGGTGTCATTCAGGAGCGGCTAGGAGAATTTCCTGTCACTCAGCACGGGGTGACTTTACCAAGAGGACACAGCTGTACCCCGGGGAACGTCGCACCCACCTGGCTTGAGCAGGGGGCACTGCCAGCGGATCACGCACTCACCAGTGTTCTGCACTGCCCGCTTTCACTCACCCACGTGTAATCCCTTCCACCCCTGCCCGGCCAGTATGCGAGGGGTCCCCAGACCAGGCTGCACTGCGGAGCAGGGTCCCAGGGTCGGGAGGGGTCCCACCTTGGTGTAGGGCTGGGTGCAGACAATTTTCACCCGGTCCCATTTCTTCTCGGCTGCTGCCTTCACCAGCTTGTCCGGGCCGAACATCCGGACGCGGTTGAGGTTGGTGCCGGCCTTGCTCTCCGAGGGCGACATGAAGGACGAGGTGACCAGCAGCACCTGGGGGGGGGGGGGGGGGGAGCCTGGGGTTAGAGAAGCCTCCGTAAACCCCTGACACCCTCCCACCCCAATCCTATCGCTGCCTCAGTCCTAAGGGATTAAGCCCCCTGGGGTCGCTCGGCTGGGCCCCACCCCACAGGGCTCACTGAACCAGGGCCACCCCTCTGCCCCCCACCTGAGACCCGGGAGCTCCCCAAAGCTCAGCACGCGCGGCTTCCTCCCCCTCACCTCATAGTCCTGCTCGCTGGGCGAGGCGGAGCTGCCGGCCAGCACCTCCACGAAGGCCGAGCCCTCGTTGCCCACATCGATGCTGTGGATCCGCTCTTCCTTCTCGAACTGCCGCGGGCGGAAGGGGGGAGAGTCAGGGGCCGGGGATGCGGCGCCCACCCAGGGCCCACTTCCAACCCACTCCGGGAACCCAGGAATCCAGGCTTCCCCCGTCCCCCTCCTGCTCTAACCACTACACCCCCTCCCCTCCCAAAGCCAGGGAGAGAACCCAGGAGTCCTGGCTCCCCCTTGCCCCCCCCTCCTCCAGGGAGAGAACCCAGGAGTCCTGGCTCCCCCTTGCCCCCCCCCTCCTCCAGGGAGAGAACCCAGGAGTCCTGGCTCCCCCT